GAGTTGACCCCTCAAAGGAGAGTTGACCTTAAAGACATGGATGAAATAAAGTTTTGGGACCTTGCTTTACTGATGTAGCATGACTAAAAATGAGAAGAAACGGTTGCAAACATCTGTTAATAATCAGAACATGGAATGTATAAAGTATGAATCTAAGAAAACTGGAAGTCATCAAAACTGAAAAGCATAAATATCAATATCCTAGGCACTAGTAAGCTGAAATGGACTAGTACTGCCCATTTTGACTCAACCAGTCATATGTTCAACTATGCTGGGAATGACAAATTGAAGAGAAATGACATCATGTTCATCTAAATAACATTTCAAGATCTATACTGAGTGATAGGATAATATCTATATCTCTACAAGGAAGACCAATTAATATGACTATTACTCAAATTTATATAGCAACCACCAATGCCAAATATGAAGAAATTAGAGATTTTGAAGTTAATCAAACATACAATCAAGATAATTACAAACAAAAAATAAATAAATACAAACATAATAAGAACTGCTGACTGGAAGGCAAAAGTTGGAAACTAATAAGAAGGATCAATAGTTGGGAAACTATGGCTTTGGTGATAGAATCAGTATCATACTTCATGAAATAATTTTGTAAGACCAACAACTAATTCATTGGAAATACCTTTTTTCAATAATAGCTACTATACGCATGGACTTCAACAGATGGAATATACAGGAATTAATTGACTACATCTGTGGAAAGAGATAACGGAGAAGCTCAATATCATCAGTCAGTATGAGGCTAGGGGCCAACTGTGGATTGGCTATCAACTGTTCATATGCAAGTTCAAGTTGAAGCTGAAGAAAATGAAAAGAAGTCCACAAGAGCCAAAATACAACCATGAATATGTTCCATTGGAATTTAGAGACCATCTGAAGAATAGATTGGATACACTGAACACTAATGACTGAAGACCACATGAGTCAAGGAATGACATCATACATTAAGAAAGCAAAAGGTCACTAAAAAGACAGGAAAGACAGGAAAAACCAAAATAGAGGTCAAAGAGACTCTGAAACTTGCTCTTGAAGATAGAGCAACTAAAAGCAAATGGAGGAAATAACTAAGTGAAAAAGCTGAAGAGAAGATTTCAAAGGGCAGCTTGAGAACACAAAGTTAAATATTATAATGAAATGTGCAAAGACCTGGAGTTAGAAAATCAAGAGAAGAACATGCTCAGCATTTCTCAAGCTGAAAGAACTGAAGAAAAAAAAATTAAGTCTCAAGCTACAATTTTGAAGGATTCGATGGACAAAATATTGAATGATGCAGGAGCATCAAAAGAAGATAGAAGGAATACAGTCACTGTACCAAAAATAACTGGTTGACATTCAACCATTTCAGGAAGTAGTATTTGATAAGAACTGATGATATTGAAGGAAAAAGTCCAAGGTACACTGAAGGCACTGGCAAAATGCAAGGCTCCAGAACTGAAGGAACATCAATTGAGATGTGTCAACCAATGGATAGAACACTAGAAGCGGTAACTTGTCTACAGCAAGAAATTTACAAGTTTTGATTTGCATCTGTCTAAGGGCTAATGATCATGAACATGTCTTCACGTGTCTGTTAGCTGCCTGAACATCTTCTTTGGTGAACTATCTGTTCATTTTCTCTGCCCATTTTTTAATTGGATTGCTTGTCTTTTTTGTTGTTGTTGAGGTATTGAAGTTTTCTATAAATGTGAGACATCAGTCCCTTATCTGATATATGTTAGAAGCTTTGGTGGTATAGTGCTTAAGGCATTTTACTGCTAACCGGAAGGCTGGTGGTTCAAACCTACCAGCCACTGCTAGGAAGGAAGACTGGGCAATCTACTCCCATAGTGATACCACCTCAGAAACCCAAGGATGGGTCACTATGAATCACGTCTGACTCGATGGCAGTGAACTTGGAGCTGATATATGTTGGCCAATCTTTTTTCCCTTTTTACTCTTGCCAAAGTCTTTTGATGCACATAAATGTTTAATTTTTAGGAGGTCCTAGTCATCTAGTTTGTCTTCTCTTGTTTATGTGTTGTTAGTTATGTTTGATATTGTATTTATGTGATGTGCTAGGGTTCCTAAGTTTGGCTCTCTTTTTTCTTTGATGATCTTTATGGTTTTAGGTTTCACATTCCATTTGTATATAATGTGAGATATGAATCCTGCTTCATTTCTCAGCAAATGGATGTTTTGGCAGAACCATTTGTTAAAGAGACTATCTCTTTACCATTTAATGGGTTTTGGCCCTCTGTCGAAGATCAGCTGTCCATCCATAGGTTCTCAGTTCTGTTCCAATGGTCTATGTACCTGTCATTGTACCAATACCAGAAATATCCAAATCAAAACAACAATGAGATATCATTGAGGAAGACTCATTAACAGATGGGATATACAGATGACACAGCCTTGCTTGCTTAAAGTGAAGAAGACTTAAAGCATTTACTTTAAGTAAGTTCAAAGACTACAATGTTCAATATGGATTACACTTCAGCATAAAGAAAACAAAAATCCACACAACTGGACAAATAAGTGACATCATGATAAATGGAGAAAAGATTAAAGTTATCAAGGATTTCATTTTGCTTGAATCCACAATCAATGAACATGGAAATAGCAGTCAAGAAATCAAACAATGCATTGGGCAAATCTGCAGCAAAAGACCCCTGTAAAGTGTTAAAAAGCAAAGCTGTCACCTTGAGGACTAAGGTGTGCTTGACTCAAGCCCTGGTATTTTCAATCATCTCATAAGAGCTCTGGTAGCATAGTGGCTAAAGCACTTGACTGCTAACCAGAAGGCTGGCGGTTCAAACCCACCAGCCACTCCTCGGAAGGAAAGGTTGGGCAATCCTACTTCCGTAGTGATACTGCCTGGGAAACCCAAGGAGGGGTTGCTATGAGTTGGGGCCAACTCGACGGCACACAACAACAACATAGCAATGGGAAAGCAATGAATAAGGAAGACTGAGGAAGAACTGATGCAACTGAATTATGGTATTGATGAAAAATACTGAATGAACTATAGACTGAGAGAAGAATAAATGTCTTTGAAGAAGTACAACCAGAATGCTCTCTGGAAGCAAGGATGGCAAGATTTTGCCTCACGTACTTTGGACATGTTATGAGGAGGGACCAGTCCCTGGAGAAGGACATCATGTTAGGAAAAGTATTGAGTCACCAAAAATGAGGAAGATCCTCAATGAGATGGAACAACGCAGTGGCTGCAGCAATCAGCTCAAATACAGCAACAACCGTGAGGATGGCACGGGACCAGGCTGTCTTGTTCTGTTGTGCACAAGGTCACCACGAGTCAGACCTGGCTGGATGACACCTAATAGCAACGTGAGCTTTTTACTGTTATAACAAGTTATCACAAATTTAATGGCTCAAAAAACCATTACAATTCCAGAGACTAAAATCAAAGTGTCAGTAGGGCTATGTTGCTGCTGGAGTCTCTAGTATGTCACTACCAACATAAAATACAACCAATAGCTCCTATCTCCCAACCAACTTTAGTTCAAATGCCTAATCTGATTGATATTCAAGATTTTCCATGATCTGGTCCCATGTAGGAATCTTATCTGCCAATACTACCTTTCTAGCACCCTGAGACCCAGTCAAAATACAGCTTCTCAATATACCCACACAAATGGCATCCCACCCTAAACCAATCCCAAGAGTTTTCATGGGTCCTAGCTCCAGAGTTTATACATTCAACCACTCTCCTATAGATTTCTATATTTTTCCAAATTTTTTATTGATCATTTTGTTCCAGTCCTGTGAACTCAGCACTAATGAGCTTGGCTACTTGTCCAAGGGCATTATCAGCAAAGATGTAAGAACATCACACTTAAGTAGCTATACACTCAAATAATCCACAAGAATAAGACTCTTTCCACATTTCTCATGGGCTTTGTACTGTCTGACAGGAAACCTTCAGCAATAGTCACAGGTAGAGCCAATGTCAAATATAATCTATAGCATTGAACATTACTGATCACCACCCTTATAAAGGGAAATGTTCCTGGGGCTATGTCCAAGGTTAAGGGTTATAGTTAGAAATACAAATGCCTATAGCAGGGAAAACAGCATATTCATATATACTAGGAACATGTCAGACGCTTTATAAATGCTTGCTTGCTTTTTCCTTTCCTTTCCCTTCCTTCCTTGTCCTTCCCTCCCTCCCTCCTCTCTTCCTCCTTCTCTCTCATCTAATAGTAAGAGAACATACTAACAGATGATTAGTTGATGTTTCTTTCTTTAGTGTTTCTCACCCCAGGGATAATGGAAGTACCATCAAGACAGGGCCCAGAATTGTTTTCCCCTACCGTTAACCTTTTCCATTAATCTCTGATCTCTGGAACCCTTCTTAACTGAGTCCACAGTACCTCAGATTGACTACTATGGGTTTTCCTCACCTCGTAAGTTTCCATTCTGAACCAGTTGGATCACCTGACCTTCAGCCTCTCCAAGTCCCAGCAGAATTTAGCAATACAGTCTGAGTTACCAACACAATCATGGAGCTCAGAATTTCCTTGGCACCTCTGTCACTTTCTCCTTAATTTACATTCACATGCCCAGAAACCTGACCAAGAGTTAAGAGAAATGCAAATTCTCAGCCATCTGAGCCCAGCCACAACTAAAACATGCACAAGCACACAAATCCATCCATTTCCTTCAGGCCATCTCCTGTCCTTGACCTTGACAAATATAACCTCCTTAGAAAACTTCTAATTAGCCACACCTGCCAACCGTATTTACCTTCATAAGAACCAAATAACCAGAATATTCTCAATCCAATGCTATACACATTTTTAAACTTCAGCCAACACAAACCAACGATGAAAAAGCAAGTAAATAAAGGCTAAAGTAAAGTTAGATGGAAGCAATTTTCCTATCAAATACCCTTCCAAAGCTCCATGATAAATTGCTCATTCAACCACTTCTGTCACATCCAATTAGATCGGAATCACATTTTTATTTACACTTACCTCTGCCACTCGGTGAGTGGAACTAAACCGAGGTTGTGAACCAGCCAAAACACAGTGTTGGTGGGTGGCATTGAGATCATCTGCAGGAAAAATGGCAAAATTCAAAACCAAAAAACACATTTATTAGTCACTATAACCATTCAAGTAAAATTCAAATCCACCAAGAGAAACAGTAATAATCAAAGAATTAACATTGACCTAGTATTCTTTAAAATGTACCTCACAAGTAAAATGACTATATATATCATTATCTAAAACAAAACTTTTTCTTCCTTTTTTATTGTGGTAAAAAAAAAAAAGTATATATAACAAAACTTTTACCAATTAAATTTTTACATGTGTAATTCAGTGATACTGATTATGTTAATCATATTTTACAATCACTACCTCTTTCCATTTTCAAATGATTCCAAGACCATTAACAGAAACTCAATATTCTCTAGGTAGTGAGTCCCCCTTTTCCCTCTCTACCACCCCTGGTGATCACTAATAAACTTTGGTCTCTACACATTTGCCTATTTCATTTAAGTAGCATCAATACAGTATTTGTCCTTTTGTAATGTGACCTAACTCATTCAGCATTATGTTTTTTAGGTTCATCTGAGTTTTGGCATGCATCAGGACTTCATTTCTCTTTACGGCTGAGCAACATTCCATTGGATGCATGAACCACATTTTGTTTATCTGTTCATCTGTTGATGGACATTGTTTTTTTTTTCACCTTTTGGCTATTGTGAAAGGTGCTGCAGTAAACACTGGTGTACAGGCTTCTGTTTGTATTCTTGCGTTCAATACTTCTGGGTACCCAGGAGTGGAAATGCTGGGCCATATGGTAGTTCTATGTTTAACTTTTTGAGGAACTCCCAAACTGTAGTGGCTGTACCATTTTGCATTTCCACTGGCAATGGATGAGGGTTCCATGTCTCAACATCCTTGCCAAAACCTGTTTTTTAACCTTTTTTTTTAATCATAGTCATTCTGTTGTTGTTGTTAGGTGCCACTGAGTCGGATCAGATTCAGAATGACCCTACAGACAACAGAACAAAACACTGCCCACTCCTCCACGATCCTCACAATCACTGCTATGGTTGGGCCCATTGTTGCAGCCACAGTGTCAATCCATCTCACTGAGGGCCGTCTTCTTTTTGGTGACCCTGTACTTTGCCATGCATATATTCTGTTCCAGGGACTGGTCCCTCCTGATAACATGACCAAAGTATAAGAGACAAAGATGGCCATTCTCACTTCTAAGGAACATTCCAGCTGTACTTCTTCCAAGACAGTCCATAGTATATTCAATAGTCTTCACTAACACCATAATAACAATGCATCGATTCTTCTGAAGTTTTCCTTAAAATATTGTCCAGCTTTCACAAGCATATGAGGTGATTAAAAATATGGGTTGGGTCTGGTGTATCTTAGTCTTCAAAGTAACATCTTTGCTCTTTAACACTTTAAAGAGGTCTTTGCAGCAGATATGCCCACTGCAATACGTCATTTGACTTCTTCACTGCTGCTTCCAGAGGCATTGATTGTGGATCCAAATAAAATCAAATCCTTGACAACTTCAACCTTTTCTCCATTTATTAGGATGTTGCTTATTGATCCAACTGTAAAGATTTTTGTTTTCTTTATGTTGAGATGTAACCCATTGTAGTTGTAGTCTTTGATCTTCATCAGTAACTGCTTCAAGTCTTCTTCACTTTCAGCAATCAAGGTTGTGTCATGTGCATATCCCAAGTTGTTAATGAGTCTTCCTCCAATCCTGACCCCATATTCTTCTCTCTATAGTCTAGCTTCATGGACTGTTTGCTCAGCTTAGAGGCTGAATAAGTATGGTGAAAGGAGACAACCCTGATACACAGCTCTCCTGCTTTTAAATCATGCAGTATTCCCTTGTTTTAGCTGAACAACTGTCTCTTGGTCTGTGTACAGGTTCCTCATGAGCACAATGAAGTGTTCTGGAATTCCTATTCTTTGCAATGTTATCCATAATTTGTCATGGATAACAAATTTGTTATGAACAAATTAAGAATAGCCATGCTAGTGGGGATAAAGTGGTATCTCACTGTAGTTTTGATCTGCAGTGGTGGCACAGTGGGTAAGGCAGTTTTGGCTATTAACCAAAAGGTTGGCAGTTCAAACCCACCAGCTGCTCCTTAGAAGGAAGATGAAGCAATCGACTTCCATAAAGATTTATAGCCATGGAAACCCAATAGGGGGTCACTATGGGTCAGAATCCACTCAATGCCTATGGGTTTATGGGATTTTTATTTGTTTGTTAATAATCAAAGATGTTGAGAATTTTTTCATGTGACTGTTGGCCATATGAATACCCTTTTTGGTGAAATGTCTTTTCAAGTCTTTTGTCTATTTTGAACTGGATTGTTTCTTTTTGTTGTTAAGTTGTCACAGTTCTTTAGATACTCTGGATATTCAACTCTTATCAGGAGCTCTGGTAGCATAGTGCCTAAGGCATTTGACTGCTAACCAGAAGGCTGGTGGTTCAAATCCACTAGCCACTCCTTGGAAGGAAGATTGGGCAATCTACTTCTGTAGTGATGTGTTGTTGTTGTTATGTGCCATAGAGTCAGACCCGACTCATAGCAACCCCTCCTTGGGTTTCTGAGGCAGTATCACTACAGAAGTAGATTGCCCCATCTTCCTTCTGAGGAGTGGCTGGTGGGTTTGAACCACCAGCCTTCTGGTTAGCAGTGTAGTGATACTGCCTCAGAAACCCAATGAGGGGTTGCTATGAGTAGGATCCGACTCAACAGCAGTGAGTTGGTTATTTATTTATTTATTTTTAATCAGATATACAGTTCCCCAAAATTTTGCCTCAATACATAGGCTGTCTCTCCACTTTGTTTATAAAGTCCTTTGGTGAACAAAAGCAGAACCAGAAAACTTTCAAATGTGAAAGGGGTACTATAGTAATTATTCCAGGACAACAGGTATAAACCAGGGCTGTCTTTGGCAAGCTGGATATATGGTCTTACAATAGCAACCACTATAAAGTTTATTATTTGTAGACTGACCAACTTCCTCTTTCTCATGGCATATCTATTTCTAGCTATGTCTTTAGAATGAACCAGAATCCTTTCTCATTATTTGAAGTTGAATATCTTCATGTGAAAGCCTGCCTTTCTTGTTTCAATCAAAATATCAGTTTTCCCCCATAATTTTCCAGCCAACAAACCAATCAACTAAGCATATCACAAGGCCTTGGTTCTCAGAAAAATATTCAAAATCCATGGATTCATGACCCAAGAATGGTGGAGATGGTAAATTTATCAGCTTAAGAAAACTTCTAAGCCACATACAGAATAAATCAATGGCCAAGTTGCTGTGTCTTCTAAGAAGTGTTGCCACATGTCAAGAAAAATCTGTATCACCTCTGAGTAGGACAAAATTTTCTCTGTTATAAAGAAAAGAACTGAATAGTACTATTCTGCAGCAATGTATAGTTTCCTACACAGGCAACACAGGCTTCTGACCAAGGATACCAAAAAAAACGATGTCTTAAACTACGAGGCCAAGAACACCATACTCCTTATGTGTCAACAAAATAACATACAATTTTACCACTAAACAAAGGAGAGGAAATGTAAAATGTCAACTGCAGGACTTTTACTTCTGGACATTATGAGTAACAGTGACAAGATTTACCTTCTTGCCTTAAACACTATAAAGACAAAAAAAAAAAAAAAAAGGAAATGAAAGTTTCTCATGTTAGAAAACAGAGCAAGACGTGATCCCATAGAGGGAGAAACAGAGTAGGTGAGCCCTGCACCTAGCATACTACCCGGAGATAGCTTCAAGGCCAAAGAACAGGGAGGGGGGAGTCTAACAGAATCCAGACTTCTCTAGTGTCATTTTTGCTGAGTTTAGAAGACAGAAAATGACTAAAATGACTGGAGTTCAGAGAAGCCATGGCAGTTACCATTTGTAAGGCCAATTACTGGCATAGAGAACCTACTGATACTGGTACACAGATTCTTCTAGAGAAATAAGCAGAGATTGGCAAAAGGATTCCCTCAAGCCTTTAGCTGGGTACTGATCTGTGCATGATGAAAGAAAACTATCCAAGGCCAGGAAGAGAACCTCCAGAAAAAAGGCTGAACTAATTCCAGGCCTCACATTGGGTCAGCAATACTCTGTGTTTCCAGAAGTCAGAATGAAAAGATCTAAGCTACTGGGCAGAGACCACAGAAAAGAATCATCCAAGTAGTAGGACATTAGTCTTAGACTAAAGGCTGCTCTAGACCTGCCTCACAAAGATGAAAAGCAACAGAACAAGCCTCAAAAGAATACAAATTATTCTAAATAATTACTTGTTGTTGTTGTTGTTATGTGCCGTCGAGTCGGCCCCGACTCATAGCGACTCCTCCTTGGATTTCCGAGGCAGTATCACTCAGAAGTAGGATTGCCCAACCTTCCTTCCAAGGAGTGGCTGGTGGGTTTGAACCGCCAGCCTCTGGTTAGC